GTGCATGCTTCAAGATAATATGTATACGCATGTTATTCTAAAAGTGTATATACATTATCACTACCATGTGTTAGTGTGAATTTCATAGACATTATTTTAAAGTACAACATCCATCAGTCTATGTATATGTGGGTTTTATGTACAGGTATGCATTGATATGAAGTTTGATTTAAAACCTATGCGCCTCATGTCCAGACAACGCTTTTATACTACGCAATTATGCAATTGAAGAAATTGCCAAGAAATCTTTTTCCAGGTAATTCATGACGGAAGTTATATGTATGTAGTAAACAGTCAAACATATTAGTCACAGGCCTAGTGCTTAATCAGTGATACCATAATAGCCTGCGAGAATGAGTTTAGTCTGAATGTTGATTGAAGTGAAGCAACAACTTTATTTTCTAGAGAATGTAGTGGTTATGGGTATGTACTAATATCAAAGCTTGTTTCAACAAAACTTCATATTTTAAAAGTCATAGGTCTTGTGTTCAGTAAAACTTTCAAAATGCTGCATGAATCTCTAAGAATCATTATTGAAATGTGACATATCAACACTGATTGGTCTGAGAGAGATGTCAGTGAATTTAACACACGAGACACCAATCCTATAGTTGAATAAGCGACAGCAGCAGCCACTCCTGTTCTGTTGGTTTGAACAGCTAAACCACTTTTATAGCCCCACAAGGAAAAAGACACCTGAAGTGACTGCATCATGGCCTATAGAAGAGGTCCAGATGTTTCTCTCATTGGTAGATGAGGAACCGATCCAGCAATACCAATGATGTCACAGCAGTAGAGGCGGCGAAACTTTACCGATATTCCTACCCACTACACAAGGTATTAAACTGCAAAGGAAATGCAAACGAAACAGAGCAGGACTGAACCGAAGGATTGGTTTAGTTCAAGAAATGCATGATGGAGATAATGATAATAATGATACAAGCCTTCGAATAACCAGACGGAACATTAAAATTAATTAGAAAGCCTTGTCTGATACCGATATGGATGTTCTTTTGGGACAATAACAAAACTCACAAAATTGTTTGTTCTTCTGCAATGCTGAAGATTGTATTTATTTAATTGAAATATGATTTATATAAAGTCAAATAAAACAATTAGTTTCACTGAAGTGGACGACAGGTGTTCAAGCAAAAATGACAGTTTTTGTTGTTGCCTGTATAAAGAAGTCAGCTGTGCGCATAACGTAACTCTTTCAGAGTCTATTGGCTTGTGAGATGTTTATCCAAGTGAATAAAAGATTTATCGGACACATTAAAGGACGTACACTGAGAACAGGGCTGTCCTTGAGGCCGCTGTCCTGCGGTCAGTGCGTGCCCTTCTGGACCATCTGCGTGAATCGGTTGGTGATGGTCAGTGTGGTGTCGATGAAGCGCTCCACGCAGCTCACCAGACAGGTCTCAGTCCGGGAATCCAGTTTGGAGCTCGGTTTGTCCACGCACTTGTCCCAGCATACATCCGTAAAATTGTGAACCTAACAACAAGGTGTTTAAACAAGGTTAACACACCAACCTGCTTGAAAACTTTAAGTCGAGTGACAGCACGTAACGTTACAGAGTGATCCTGGCGCGTTTCCTACCTGCGCCTGAAACTGAGCCTTCTGCTGCTCCACCGCGAGCATACGCTGCAGCTCCGCGGCCTCTGCCTTCTCCGAGGAACCAGCCGATGGCAAGTCAAAGCTGGAGTGAAAATCCGCCATTTCAACACTTTACCGACAGATTATATACACAAGATCATATACGGATTAAATCCACCGTGCTCAATGACAAGCATGGACAGTGTGACAAGCTAGTACTTCCGCCGCAAGAATATGACGTCACGAGGGTCAAAGTTATTCGTTTTTTCTTTCTTTCTCTAAAGAGATCTCTGGAAAAAAAATGAATAAGAGTAAGCCAGCTGTGATTTCTCTCAAAAACTGTCTCTTAAAATAAATCTATGGTATTAAAGACACTTAACTTATATATCTTAGTGTAGTTAATATGTAAAGATTTAAAGCAAAGAAATTAATTCAATTTTAAGCTTAGAAGTAGAAAAAAAAGATACATTCAAGGTCTGTATCTTTGACTTATCTAATAGATGGTTTATCTATTAGCCCTAATTTCAATAGAAACTATGAGTAAAAAAGAATCCTCTGGGTGCTCCGGTTTCCCCCATAGTCCAAAGACATGCAGTACAGGTGAATTGAATAAGCGAAGTGTATATGTGTGGAGGAGTGTGTATGGATGTTTCCTAGGGTTGGGTTGCAACTGGAAGGGCATCTGCTGCATAAAACATATGCTGGATGAGTTGGCGGTTTATTCCGCTGTGGTGACCCCAGATTATTAAAGGGACTAAGCCGAAATGAAAATGAATGAATTAATATATGTATAGATATATACAGTTGAAGTCAGAATTATTAGCCCCCCTGAATTATTAGACCGCTTGTATATTTTTCCCCAATTTCTGTTTAACGGAGAGACACATTCAACACATTTCTAAACATAATAGATTTAATAACTAATTTCTGACTGATTTATTTTATCTTTGCCCGGATGACAGTAAACATTATTTACTAGACAACAACAACAACAACATAAGCCTTAAACAGACTGGAAAAAATCTGGCTTGTTCAACAATGAATGAATGAATGAATGAATGAACCTGAAATAAACATGTAAACATGTTTTTGAATAATATTGATAGTGTGTTTTAGAAAAGGATTTTGGTTTGACATAATTTTGTTAAAAATGAATTTCTCCTTAGCCAAAAGGTGTGCTTTTGGTTTAAAAAGACACCCTTTTATATTGAGTAATTAATTTCACTATTATTACCATAACTTAAACAATCTATTAAAACAATAAAAAGTTAAGAAAAAAAATCTAAATGTTTTAAAAACATATATAAGCATTTAAATTGAGAAGAGCTGTTCTCAGACATTTATGAATGAAATACATTTACGTTACTCAAACCCATACCTACTAAATACTGTAAACCCAGAAGAATTGAAAACTGTCTAGTAATGCCCTCTTTTTCCCATAGCTGTACAGTAATTTTTATTTGAGATACATAGTAATTCATAAGGTTCGAGATCATGATTCAAGGCTTTACAATAGATTTTTACACCCTCCAGTGCTTAAATATACCTTTTTAGACCACTGCCATTTTCGAAAAATAATAATAATAATTATAAACAACAACAACATAAGCATTTAACAGACTGGAAAAATCTTTATTTTTCCAAATTATATTAATTTTAGAAAAACATTTTGGATTGACTTAAAATGTTATTAAAAGGAATTTATCTTTGAATCTCAGCCAAAAGATGTGCTTCTGATGCTTTGAAAAGAGACCAATTTATATTGAGTAAATAATTTCACTAAAATAATATAAATATTTAAAAACCGTTTGACAGCAAAAATTTATTTTGCGCACTCTGTCGATAGATGGCGCTGTCGAGTTGCAGTGAAAGAAACGACGGACATCAAGAACTTACTGGCTGCTGTTGGAGAAACATCTGCCTTTTGTTTTGCATTGTAAGAAGTCAAGTCACCTTACTTTATCACTTTAATTTGAATCTGACCTTGTAATTAAATAATCATGGCGAGTCTGATTCGTTTGAGCTCAGTTTGGCAAAGAGGAATGCGACGTAAGTCTCCATTTTTACATTTTATCTGCATGAATTAGCTGAAATTATACATGATTACACAATGCGCATACGAAAATATCTACTGTTGATTGATACAGATTCAAAGTATACAAATTAGCCCCTAAATTTTTATGACGTCTTTTAAATAGCTGATATTTGTACTATTTTATACCATGTACAGCTGTGCTTCTCTGCCACACACAACTGTCTCGAGGGTCAGCCTGTCCGAGGATTGGAGATGTGGACTATACAGAGCCAGCAGGCAGGATCCACACAGCTTCATCAAGCACTGGTGAGTGATGATAAGGACAAATTATTGTGCAAGTTACGAAATATATTCAGAGATTTATCGACGTTGTGTGTACGCAATCATCAGTTTCCTATTCAATTGCATGAATAATTTACTGCACTTCTTGTTCAAATAATGATATTTATAACATTTTTTCTAAGTTATTTATTTTTATATCTATATAAATTTATATAAATGATAACAATAATTATAATTTTTATAATAATATAAATTCATTTATTTATTCATTTTCTTTTCGGTTTAGTCCCTTTATTAATCCGGGGTCGTCACAACGGAATGAATCGCCAACTTATCCAGCACGTTTTTACGCAGCAGATGCACTTCCAGCCACAACCCATCTCTGGGAAACGTCCACACACACACACACACACACACACACACACACACACACACACACACACACACACACACACACACACACACACACACACACTACGGACAATTTAGCCTATCCTATTCACCTGTACCGCATGTCTTTGGATTGTGGGGGAAACCGGAGCACCAGGAAGAAACCCACGTGAACGCAGGGAGAACATGCAAACTCCACACAGAAACGCCAGCTGACTCAGCTAGGCTATAATATTATAAAAATAAACAAACATGGAATGTGTTTGCAGGTAACATTAGTCAGTTTTAGTATTAAAATTGCACTTTTTTGTGTAACTTACTAATTTAGTGGATCACACTAGCATGAACATTTGTGTGCTACTACTGTGACCCAGCACATTTCAAAAACAAAACATATGTAAAAAAAACCCTGCATGATTAATTGCTAAAAGATTCTCGATTTTAACATAAACTTAATAATTTTTTATAAATGACAAGGATTTAGCTGTCTGTTTGACATGCCTGTTGCAACCAAGTAGCTAAGAGTAATCCATTGCATAAAAAAAAACATTTCCAGGGGTTGCCATCAAAAAATGTAAGACGAAAGATACTCATAGGTTTGGAACAAGTGGAGGGTTAGTAAATTCTGATTAAATGTTTTTTTGTGTGTGAACTAAGAGGTTGTGCCATTATATAAACGCTGTTCTTTACTGATACAGGCAGAAAACACACTCTGCTGCTCAAGCTCTACTGAGATTTTGGACTGTGAAACAGCCAAAGACTTCAATGACTTTTGTAACACTTTGTAAGAAAAGTCATCACACTGTGACATTCAAATCAATCAGATTTTTAAAAGCATTTGTCAGTGAGTTGTTCATTCAAGGTATTCATTCATAAATCTAAACAAACACATTTTTTTATTAATGAGACTTACTCCTCAAATAGTTTTAATTTTTAAGTTAATTTCTATATATATATATATACAATACATATAGCAGGACATACAAATGAATCTATATAGTTCTACATATACAGTTGAAGTCTGAATTATTAGCCCCCCTATATATTTTTTTTCCAATTTCTGTTTAACAGAGAGAACTTTTTTTAACACATTTCTAAACATAATAGTTTAATAACTCATTTCGAATAATTGATTTATTTTATTTTTGTCATGTTGACAGTAAATATTTACTAGATATTTTTCAAGACACTTCTATACAGCTTAAAGTGACATTTAAAGGCTTAACTAGGTTAATTAAGTTAACTAGGCAGGTTAGGATAATTAGGCAAATTGTTGAATAACGATGGCTTATTCTGTAGACTATTGAAATAATATCTACCTTAAAGGGGATATTTATAATAATTTTGACCTTAAAATGGTGTTTCAAAAATTTTAAACTGATTTTGTTCTAGCTGAAATAAAACAAATAAGACTTTCTCCAGGAGAAAAAATATTATCAGACATACTGTGAAAATTTCCTTGCTCTGTTAAACATAATTTGGGAAATATTAAAAAAAAGGAAAAAAATTCAAAGGAGGGCTAACAATTCTGACTTCAACTGTATATATATATATATATATATATATATATATATATATATATATATATATATATATATATATATATATATATATATTCATTTTCCTTAAATCTCTTAATCTTAATCTCTTTATCTTTTTATTAATCAGGGGTCACCACAGCGGAATGAACCGCCAACTTATCAAGCATATTTTTTACGCAGCGAATGCCCTTCCAGCTGCAACCCAGCACTGGGGAAACATTCATACACTCTTGCATTCACACACATACACTACGGCCAATTTAGTTTATTCATTTCACTTCATGAGGCTCAAGGTTTACACTTCTAGTGGAGAAAACCCATTAAAGGCATACTTAATGCAGTCAATGAACAAAAAACTGGTTTAAAAATATACATATATATATATACAGTATATACATATATATATATTTAGGCTTTAAAACTGTATGATTTGTTTATGTTAACGAAGCCTGTATTTATTTGATCAGTAATTACAGGAAAAACAATTACATTTTTAAAATAATAATAAAATAATTTAAAATAATATTCATGTTTTTCATTTGAATATTTTTTAAAATGTAATTTATTCCTCTGGACGTCACGGTGGCGCTGTGGGTAGCATGATCGGCTCACAGCAAGAAGGTCACTGGTTTGAGCCTCGGCTAGTGCAATTGTGCAGTTTGTCTGCACAATTCGACATGAACAAAAATGTTGCTTTTGTATAATTACTACTTGCTTTTATTGTATTTCCAGGTATTTCAGCCTCCCAGCACTGGACAGGTGAAAGGGTGATGACTTTAGTTCTTTTAGGTATGGCTCCAGCCGCATACCTGTGTCCTGGTCCAGTAGTGGACTACTCTATAGCTGCAGCTCTCACAATGCATGGACACTGGTAAGAGCCTGTGTACTTCACTCATAGATTATACTGCGGCAGCTCAGTCATCGTTGAGGCTCTGCAGAATTTAAAGTGCACCTTTATTATGATTTACCTTTCATGTAGTGTGTAATGTAGCTGTTTGCGAATGTAAAAGTCTGCAAAGTTTCCAATATCAAAGTGCACAATAAATTGAGCTATTATTTCCAACAAGAAAGAATTGATTCTGAACTGCCCTCAGATACTTCATTTGAATAATGTCAGCCTATGATCTTTATTAGCTGAACACAACCAACATCTACTCTGACCCTCCCTCAAACACAGTTGTATTACAGTAGCTGAGGCCTGGGGGAGTTTGCTTTGTGTTGTCAACACTCCTTGCTTCATTGTGAAAGTAAATCAGCTTCTACTTTCAAAGGTTGATGATGACCCACGTTCAATTAATATAATAAAAGCAACCACATTGTTACTGTTCACTTTTTTTTTTTTTGTACCAGTGCTGAGAAAGTCTCTGTGTCTGAAATTCAAATATGGTAATGAACATTGTGCTGTAAGTGTTGGTGATGTAAGCAGAGTAGGTTCTTAGATAGGAGAGGCTTTCAGATACTGTAATGAGATACATAAATATCTAGAAATAATTTTTAAAAATCAAATTTCCAATTTGAAGTTCACAGCCAGTGTTTTTCAGCCAATGATAAACTTCTAAAACGTGTGAAAGCTTAACGTGTTTACTTTCAATTTTATAAGGTTCCTTTTACAGCATCAATGTTGTACTGTACAGTAATTAGAATACATTCAATTAAATAGACTTAAGCATTCATTCACACTGTGTAACAACTAGCATCGTCAGGAACAGCAGGCAAGCACAGAAACTCCATTGAAAATACTGGGGTCAAATAAACTGTCATATTTTAAAGACATGGGGGGGGGGTTAATGGAATTAAATGCAGTGCTTCTTGTCCGGCCTGAGACCCACTTTATATCATATATATCTATCAGGCAGTAAAGATCGCTGATTTTTAATGAAATCAGACCTTAAATATGGCGATTCTATAATGGAAAGACAGTTCACCAGAAGTGCTGAGGCTGGCTGAAATTAAAAGACAAAGTGTAAACAAAGCAGCATTTAGTACAATTATCACAGTATTTATCACTCAGGATGAAAGGATTTGCTGGTGCAAATATGTCTGATAATTCAATAATCCATATAGGTTGCAAATATTTGTGAAATGATGCCAAATTACTTCAAGTCTGTTTGTGCCGCCTTCTTGGCTTGAATTGTACACTTGCTATGTCACTTCACTACTAGCTTGCACTCTGATTCATTGCTGAATAACCAATTAGTGCGCTTTCTTTTCAGTCAATGGTGCAATGCCGATTCCACTTGCTGAATTGGGCCAATGAGCTCCAATCTTAGCCTGGCAAGAATCTAAGTGTGGAACACACCAAACCAATGGCAAACCGTCGACTTGGCCCGACTTGTCCCGGCCCTAAGGCCCTGTTCACATCTGATATACACATGCATTTTTGTAGAGTGTGGACAGTGTACAAATGACACATAACTGTTCACATCTGCAGTTTAAATGTGTTTCTTTTGTCCAATTTTGATCACTGAGAGAGGGTCTGTGGGCTGTATTGGCTTTTTCCTGATCTTTCAATCTAATACTGTCAAAGCTAGCACAGTTTTCATACTATACCATAAAAAAGTCTTATTAAAAGAAACAAATCAATTACACAGACTTTATGGCTACAGAGGTTCATTCTGAAAACGTAGCCCTATATACATTTCTGAAGATCGCCAATTATGTAGCCAGAAGTACGTATGGCTGCATTTCATCTTTAAAATAAACGTATGTTGCCATTCTATTTTCACGCTTACCAGCTGACTGCTTACCAACATATGGACAGTTTTTCCATTGTTACAAGTTTGTCCAGTTAGCTTGCCATGTACATTGGTGGACTTTAGATGCAGAGAGCAATTGACAACGACGACGGGGTTTGAGTCAGGTAAAAAACAGTTCCAGAAAGTGGTTAACACAAACAAAAGGTTTGTCAATTGATAAGTAAATCAGTCAGTTGACAGCGGCCTCTGGTGGATTTACGTGAAAACAGTAAGCGGGAATGCCATCCGCAAGAGCAATTTGAGATCTGAAAAAGCATACACAGCAGGATCTAGTGGATTTACACAATTTTTTTTTTAAATAAATAAATAAATAAACAAACAAAATGTAGCCTCTGGGAAGTAATTTGCTCTCTCCAGAAATCTATATAGGGGTAAGTAATCAGAATAAGCCTGGTTTGGTTTATGCACAGGCTACTTTATGCATTGATAATATACATTTTGATCACTTTTTCATTTTTATTAAATTTGTTGACTCTGGGTGCTCCGGTTTCTTCCACAAGTCCAAAGACATGCGCTGTAGGTGAATTGGAGCAACTAAATTATCTGTAGTGTTTGAGTGTGAATGAGTGTGTATGGGTGTTTCCCAGTGATGAGGTGGGGTTGGAAGGGCATTCACTGCAAAAAACATACAGTATGTTGGATAAGTTGGCGGCTCAATCCGCTGTGGCAAACATAGATGAATAATGAGACTAAGCTGAAAAAAAATTAATAAATTAATAAATTTGTTAAACAAATATTTTAAAGAAGTCATGGAATTAAGGGTCTTTGAATAAAATCACTATAGAAAGGATCAGGAAATCTACAGAAAAAAATCATTCAAAACATGCAACATCCGTATAGCCAAAGATTTGGAGACCACCTCTAAATGTGATCACCGTCACACCTGATCTTAGATGGTCTTAGCAATCTACGAAAATGCATCCTAGGGATGGTTCAGCAAAAAAAGAAAATAGAATAAGCCATAGTATTAGCTTTTCATACAATGGAAGTTTTCAACTTTGTAAATGTTAATTAAATTTTTAATTCCTGTTCCTAACTGTTGCTTTAATATCAGGTTTTTACGGGACCTAAAACACAATTGGAAACCTTTAAAATAGCTTAATAAGGACATTATATGTTATGAAACTGTTCAACAATAACGATTTGTGTTAAATGTTTTAGTTAATTCACTCTTTTTCTGTGTTTTTCTATTTCTGCAGGGGTATTGGTCAAGTCCTGACAGACTATGTTCACGGTGAAGTTAAGATCAAGCTGGCAAAAGTTGGCATCTTCCTGCTGTCCACAGCCACATTCTTTGGTCTCTGCTACTTTAATTACAATGATGTTGGCCTCTGTAAGGCAGTGGTCATGCTCTGGCAAAAATGAATATTCTTGTGTCTTTTGAAAATGTGCATGTCAGAGGTCTGAATAATCATTCTAACAAGATTTGTTTTCGCCTTTTTTTTGCAAAGTGACGGACATACTCCACACTGCATGATTGATTTCTTCAGCAGGCTACAAACTGATCTTGATATATTTCCCACCCAATGTCAACTTGCACATTAAAACAGCAATCACAAAATTACTGTAAAACATACATATAGTACACATCTACTTTACATTGCTCTGCTGATGGCCTTTAATTATTGAACATCAGATGACCCAGCGTTGTTGTTCATAATTATATTTTCGTATTGACATATGAGAATAAAAGCAGCGTCTGTGATTAAGACTCGGCTCAATGACTCTCTACTGTTCCACAGTTTTAGCTAAAAACTTTTTTAATGTTATACTTATGAAGCATAATTCACCTACAGTATGTTTTGGATGGCTTTAGAGTAAATTGACAGCAATATTTTTTCTGGTTAATTTATTATGGACACAACTGAACAACAAATGTCCATGATGAGTAAAAATAATAATAACTTAAACTGGGAATTAACAGTTTTATCAAAATTATGATAAAAAAGATCTCATTGGACTTTAGGTCAGCATTTTTCACTTGGCATTGGTAACAGACTTTATTATAGAAGGCTTTACTGCTTGTTTCACAATAAGTACGTTTTGTAAGCTTGATTTGAATGTAGAAAGGCGTGTCTCTGAAACGCCTGCAGGACCATGATCTGTTCACAGAATACAAATAAGGTAAAAATGATTCCAGACGTTTGTAAACATGAAATAAAATGAAAAATTGTATACTTATTTCTTTAGGTATTACAGTAACAGAAGCACACTACACAATATAATCTCTTAGACTGCAAATAAACTCTCTTACCTGGAGTTTTGACTTGTTGATATGCAAAACCTCAAATCAGAAAATGCTGGGACAGTATGGAAAAAGCAAATAAAAAAAAGAAAGTAGGGATTTCCAAATTTACTTCGACTTGTATTTCACTGCACACAACATGAACACAAAATATTTAATGTTTTTTTTCTGGTAAACTTCATGTCATTTGTAATTATACATCTTTTCTTGTTATTTAGACTTGCAACACATTCCAAAAAGTTGGGCATGAGCAGTTTAGGGCTAGTAAACAGGTAAATATTTGTTTAATAATGATGTGTTTTGAAACAGGTGATATCAGCAGGTGATTGTAATTATGATTTGGTACAAAACCACATCCAAGAAAGGTCTAGTGTTTTAAAAGCAAACATAGGACGAGGAGCATAAGTTTGCCTACAAGTATGTGAGAAAAATATTTAAATATTTAAAAACAGTATCCTTAAAGAGAGATAGGAAGACATTTGGATATTTCACCTTTAAAATTAACTAACATCATTAAAAGATTAAAGGATTGTCAAGGAATTTTAGTTTTCAAGAACGCAAGCTAAACTACCTCGATCTCCATTCCCTCTGGTGGGACTGCATCAAGAATCGTCATTCATCTATAAGTGGTATCACCACATGGGCTCAGGACTACTTTGGTGAACCTTTGTCAAGTACCACAATACATAGTTATGTCCACAAATGGGGGGGGGGGGGGGGGGGGGGGAACTAAAAATCTAGACACATTTTCTAGACGAGGGAAAAATACTGTTTTTCTGAAATCGGTCACAATTGTTTTACTTGTCTCATTGGCTGATTATTTAGCTTGCTTTAAGGAAAAACTTAAACTTATTTCTGAAATCGAAACAATATTCTTTTTTTACTGGTCTAGAAAAAGCTTCATTTAACAGTTTTTAAATATTTGGACTATAAACTAGACAGAAACTTTAAGTCTAAATAAGAAAAGCAGTCCATATGTTTATTTTATGTTGAACGAATATCCATCCATTGCCAGCTGTTGCCAATCTAGATTCATCAAAATCTAAATTTTTAATCAGCAGATTTGTCAATAGCATTGTTGTCAATAGAAACTACACATTTCCATTATAATATTGTGCACAGAATTTGCCTACTTCACAGGCTCAAAGCACTGAATCAGATGGAGTACAGTATAAGAACAGAGAAAAAAATTGTTGCATCATAAACAGGAAGTGAAAGCGATAATCAGGGTTGAAGTGCATGTAAAGTAGGTCATTCTGCTTCGTCGAGCACAAATTATATGATCCTACTTAGCAGCATTCTCTTCTGTGTTTAAGTTAATCATGACAACATTAAGCATGCTTAAAAATGCATTTAGGAGCAGGAAAGGTAAGTCTTTGTCTGCTAATCTTAGCCTGACTTTGCTGTTGTGTTTTTAAGTCACCTGTAACTCAGCATTGACTATTTTATAGTTGTATTGGAAGATTAGCTGAAACTATAAACTATATATATGAAACTACAGCTAAAATATAGACAAAATGTGCAATAATGGTCACACTTGTCTGTGGTTTTGTTTTGACATTCTGCAGACAATACAGTAATTTTGCAACCACATTTCAGCTAACTCGGTTCTAGATACATAGACATGTATGAGGTGCCGTATAGGATTTAAATCAAACTTTGCTTATCAACACATAAAACACGTGTATATACACCTATAAATTACTCGCATATACACCTCTACTACTGGATGTTCAAAACAACATGGATGAAACTTGTGTATATACATATAAACTTGACGCATGAATACACCCAAATACACACGCACATACATATAAACTCGATCCTCACATAAACACCCACATTAACACACGCACATACATATAAACTTGCTGCATGCAAACACATCTATACACACTCACATATACATACAAACTTGATCTATGCATATACACCCATAAACTCTCACATAAGAATATAAACTTGATGTGTGCATAAACACCCAAATGACACTTGTGCAAAAATACAAAATAAAATTCACAAACATATATACAGTTAGTTGTGTATATACATATATGCAAGTGATTTCATATGTGTGTATGCATGAATTTTCACAGTAAAAGGAAGTTATTTCACTTTAAAAGGAAGTCGTTTAATTTCAACGTAAAAGTCCTTTGAGTGTAATGAACAAGATTATTATTTGTCATGAATCAGGTTACTGCAAACCTTAAGAAACAGAAATAATGTGATTAACAGAGGAATTACATCTGTTGAATTATGAAAATAGATTATGCTAATTCTAAAAAATAAATAAATAAAAAGGTAATGCAAAGGAATGCTCCTGCAAAATTAAAGGTTTATTATGCAATTAAACTCTCGGAAATGTTATTATGGTTTAATAAATGTAAAGTTGCTTAAGTAATCATTTTGAATAAAATATGTTTGTCTAATATTAGTTTATGTTTGTTTTATTATTGGTGTCACTATTCGTCAAGGGTTATGATACACACTTATGTCCAGTAGGGGGCAGGAATGCACTTAAGTGGGTTTTCCTGTCACCAATAAACAGGCTAATGCACCAAAATGCTGGATGACAGCTGCTGTAAAAATATAAGTAGTAGTTATTAAACACAAAAGGAGTGTCCAGATAATATATATAGCTTTTCCATGGGGGTTAACTTGACCAACATGATGAGCAGAGACTTTTAATCAGCGTTTTTTTTTTTTTTTTTGGATATGCTGAATAATTAACTAATCAAAATGATACCAAAATCTTACAATTTTGACACCCACATTGTAAAAACATATAAAAAGCATAATAATTATAAAAATGTAAAAAACAAAACAAGAAGACTATAGGCTACATTAACATTTGCACTAGAAAAGAGGAGTTTAGTTTGAGTATACATTTATATTCATAATTCTGGTTGCTTTTTGAACGTCCTTTAAGGGTTCTATCTGTCCATTTATATTTGTGTATGTAATTACCTAATTAAATTAAAAGGTTTTAAATAAAAATATTTCTTATTTTGAATAGTCTATTTATATAGACTAATATTTTATATAACATATGGTCATAATTTAACATATTTAATCCCTCTATTAATCACATTATTTCTATTTCCTAAGCTTTGCAATAACCAGATTCGTGATAAATGTTTGTGAATTTTATTTATTTATTTTTTTTGTATGTTTGCACGAGATGTTATAGGTGTGTTTGCATGCAGTGAGTTTGTGTATGTGCGCGTGTTGTTGAAGGTGTATATGCATAGACCGAGTTTATATGTATATGCGAGTATCTATAGGTGTGTTTGCATGCTTCGAGTTTATATGTATGTGCATGTAAATGTGGGTATTTATGCGAGAATCGAGTTTATATGTATATGTGAGTGTGTATAGGTGTGTTTGTATGCAGCAAGTTTATATGTATGTGCGTGTGTTAATGTGGGTGTTTATGTGAGGATCGAGTTTATATGTATGTGCGTGTGTATTTGGGTGTATTTATGCATCAAGTTTATATGTATATACACAAGTTTCATCCATGTTGTTTTTAACATCCAGTAGTAGAGGTGTATATGCGAGTAATTTATAGGTGTATATACACGTGTTTTATGTATGTGTTGATAAGCAAAGTTTGATTTAAATCCTATACGGCACCTCATAGACATGCTTGCAGTTACATATAGTGTAGGTGAATGTCTGACTGCGGTACCATCAAAGCAAATATGCATACAGTCTAATGAATAATGACTGCTACAGCTGATTTGTTGCAAATTTACATAATGTCTAAAGAGGACCATTAAAACAAAGATTTACCAAAGTAATTTGAACTCTTAAGCTGCAGTCACTCTAGAGTTTGTGTGTGCGAAATTCTGTCGTGCGAAGCTGTGAAAAGGTGCGGGATTAAACAAGATGACTAGACATTGAAAAAAGCGAGCGATTGGTCCATGTTTTAAATTTCTATCCAGAGATGTCATGTTTTGATCCTCGATCGGTCTCGCGCAGTCAAGTGATGCGATTTCGCAGGTCAGTTCACCAAGCCTGAACTTTCCCTAACTCAACTCTCCCCTAAATTCTTAGCCCTCCTGTTTATTTTTTCCCCAATTCCTGTTTAACGGAGAGCAGATTTTTTCAGCACATTTCTAAACATAATAGTTTTAATAACTTGTCTCTAACTAATCTTTGCCATGATGACAGTAAATTACATTTGACTAGATATTTTTTTAAGACACTTCTATACAGCTAAAAGTGACATTTAAAGGCTCAACTAGGTTAATTAGGTTAACTAGGCAGGTTAGGGTAGGCAAGTTATTGTATAACGATGGTTTGTTCTGTAGACTCGAGAAAAAAAGACCTAGCTTAAAGAGGCTAATTATTTTGACCTTAATGTTCTGTTTAAATAAAAAAAAAAACTGCATTTATTTTAGCCGAATTAAAGCAAATAAGACTTTCTCCAGAAGAAAAAAATATTGTCAGATATACTGTGAAAATTTCCCTGCTCTGTTAAACATCATTTGGGAAATATTTAAAAAGGATGGGGTTATTAGTAATTAATAATAATTATTAAAAGGGGGTGGGGGTAATAATTCCGACTTCAGTATATATAATCATAGTGAATTTATTTTGGATTAAATATGTCTTTCAAAAAATACACAAAACTACTTTGATCTCCACACCACCACTAGTGTGCAGCATCAACTTGCTGCGACGGCTGCCACAGTACAACGGCACCAGAGTGCTCACACCAGCTATTGGTGGAGTGGAGAGACTGTGATAGAACCAATTTGGTGGATGGGGATGATTGGAAGGCCATGATCGTAAGGGCCGATAGAGGGACTTTGGCCAGGACACAGCGGTAACACCCCTACTTACGAGAAGTGCCATGGGATTTTTAATGACCACAGAGAGTCAGGACCTTGGTTTAAGGTCTCATCTAAAGAGACGGCACCCACTGACAGTTTAGTGTCCCCTTCACTTTTACTGGGGCATTAGGACTCACGCAGACCACAGGTTGAGCGCCCCCTGCTGGCCTCACTAATACCACTTCCAACAGCAACCTAGTCTTCCCTAGTGGTCTCCCATCCAGGTACTGACCAGGCTCAGCCCTGGTTGTTTAAATAAATATAAAGCATTCAGATGCAAAAACCTCTTCTAAAGTCTTCTAAACTTCTTCAAACTTTCTTCTAAAATTTGCATTTTTCTTACATTCCCATTGATTCAGTCATTTCAATTTTATGGCAAATAGGTTATTTTCATTGCTTTTAACATGAAATATCTGAACATGAACATAAGAGGCTAAGAAAAATGCTCATTGTAGAAGAAAATTCCAGATGCCACTTAGAGGTTTTTGCATTTGAACTCTTTAAATGTTTAATGTCTTTATTTCCTTTAATATAAAAAGCACTTTAGTTTAACACTTGAAGAGCATTCAGAATACTTTGGAACTTATAGTGGCTAATGTTGTTTGCATTAGTCATTTGAAGTCTGTGTTTTTGTAACATTAATTAACTGCATAAATAATAACATTCTCATAAGCGTATGTATGTATTACATGATTCTATACAAACTTGTTTTTCTGCACTGGAAGACAAATTACCTACTTATGCAAACCATTAAGCTTATGAACTAACTCATGCATGCGAATAAGCTAAATACACACATGCATACAGATGAAGTCAGAATTATTAGCCCCCCTTTGAATTTTTTATTTTTAAACTTTTCCTGATGATGTTTAAAAGAGCAAGAAACTTTTTAAAGTATGTCTGATAATATTTTTTTATTCTGGAGAAAGTCTTATTTGTTTTATTTCGTCTAGAATAAAAAGCAGTTTTTAATTATTTTTCAACATTATTAGCCCCTTTAAGCTTTTTTTTTTAAATTATTATTATTTTTTTAATATTCCACAGAACAAACCATCATTTATACAATAACTTAATTACCCTAACCTGCCTAGTTAACCTAATTAACCTAGTTAAGCCTTTAAATGTCACTTTAAGCTGTATAGAAGTGTCTTAAAAATATCTTGTCAAATATTATTTACTGTCATCATGCCAAAGATAAAATAAATCAGTTATTTAAAATAAGTTATTAAAACTGTCATGTTTAGAAATGTGTTGAAAAAATCTCTTCGTTACACAGTAATTGGTGGAGTGGAGGGGGGGGGGGTGACGGGGGCTTATAATTCTGACTTCAACTGTACATAGAAACTTGCATAAATATATACATAAGCAATTTTTTCATGCTGTCTTTAGTTGATGTTTATTTATACACCACCCTCCCCTTCAGTGTCATGTAATGCTGTTATGTAACAGAGCTGGCAGAAGATGTGGCTTACGTAAACTGAGCTTGCCTCCTCCCCACTGTGTGCACGCAGTTTTTATTGCTCTTTACAGTTTGTAAAACAATCTTCATTCTCTGTTCTCATCAAGGGTGCAGCGTCGCATCTCTCTACAGGATGTCCTGCATTAAGTCTCAAACAATTGGTAAGAATCCAAGCGCACATGCCTGTGTATGAAAGCAGCTGCTGCTGTATTCATAGTAGAGAGTGTGATGTGCATTGAGTCTAATGACTTTTGGGTGTTTGTTTTAAATCTACTTGCATTTACAGCTTAAAGATGAATAACAGAATTAAATTTTGAACTGTACATTTGTGCAGAGTCCATGCTTCATTATTTATGCATAAGTGTATCGCAGTACGTGTGAGCGTATAAAGTTGAGAGACCGTTTCTTTTTTTTAGAGGTAATGCTTCTCTTTGTTATATCGCTGACTCTAGTAACTCAGTCTTTTGTTGGCTTTAATCCTTTATTTTGTTTCTTTCTGCTGACCCAAACAGTGAGGGCCAGAGCAGTTATCTGCAAATTTGCTACTTATACAGTCATTTAAATGACCCCTATGATATTTTAAAGGTTTTTAAGGCTTTGTACATTTTTCATTATACTCTGCAGCATCAGCAGTTTTCTTACACTGTACGAAATGTTTTAAGAATATGATCTTTCTAAACCACTCCTTTTGGTGAAGCTATACCTTGCCATGATTTGTCAGTTTTCCTATCTGTTTTGATTGCTTTTCAGCTTTCAAAATGCATCTACAACAAAATGTCCAAAACCATATGCGAGTTTCTGCTTTGTCAAATTAAATTAAATTCACATTTATTTGTATATTGCTTTTACGATGTACTGTAGATTGTGTCAAAGCAGCTTTACATAGAAGATCATAGTAAATTAAAACAGTGTAGTTCAGTTAAAAAAATAAGCAAATGTTAAGTTACATACTATTATCTTTGTGCAAAAAAAAAAAAAAACTATGTTGTTTAGCAATTTCAAAAAGCAACACAGTTTAATTTGTCCCCGGAAAAAATTATATCAATGGGTTATGCCTTGGAATGTAAACATTCAGGATATTGTTTTGCCTCTAGCTTTCTTATTGTGCTGCGTCTTAAAGTAAAAACATCTTAATCCTGCTGTCTGTGTTTTAAAATTTAATCAAAGAACAAAAGATAACAAAATCCCTCCCTGTTCTTGACTAAACGGCTATATAGCTCAGCAATGATAAACCTTTATTAATTTATACAGAGAAGATTATATGTAGTGTTATTTGATTATATACTTTTCAGTTAATATAATTGTAAGCTACTGTTAGGTAAATGAAAAATCTGAAAAGCACTATTTATTTTAGTATCTTTGCTATATTGTGTTCATTCTGTATTGTATTTTGCTTGTAGATTTTTTTTATTAGACAGTGCTTTTTACTGAACATAACATACTGACCTAAAACCAAACCCTAACTGTAGTTATGCAAAATATATGATAGTGTTTGATATTAGAAAAGGCCTATGGAGATCTCACAATTGACTGATGTTGTTATACGGTTTCAAAATACAGCTTTATGTAAAGTGTATTTATATAGCGCATTTATTGTGTATGGCCATACCAAGTGTGCCGCAAGCCTACGTTTGAGTGAAGGTTTCGGCCGTTAGATCGCCCCCTGGGGGCTGGCTGCAGTACAAGTCATAAAGCCCGCCTCCTCGGTGTTAATGAAGGAGACTTGAGCCCAAATAAAAAAAAATATTACACTTGCAATAAAATGTCCCGAAAGATAGTTCTGGTCGATTAAGGCACTGGTTATTGTGCTGAAATAGGTGCAGATCTTCATTTTTGTAAACAGTTTGTTTTTAGCAGTAATTTAATGCTGGGCGTGTCATCGTGATTGACAGCTGTGATTGACAGTTTCTCAAAGCGCGGCGTCTGAGCTTCGGCAGGAGACTGAAGTAGACTGAAATGTTATTATTCGATTTCTGTGTTATTTTACCATGACAAAATGAGTTCAGCAGTAAACTAGTTTCTGACATACATGATCCTGGTGGAACACTGTTTATTCGCTAAGTTCAGGGCTTTTTTCGGGCTTTATTAGTTTGCTGATACACGCCTAGCCACCCAGATAGCAAAACACAGTTCCGGCTAGATTCTCGCCTGCCGGAGACTTATCTCTTAGAGCTCAGACTGACTAATGTTACCTCTGCTGGACCTACTCCGGATGCCTGGACTCACTACCCAATTCCAGCCCGAGTCAATCGAGCCAGATGCGGCGGCCGAGCGAGCAGGCGCTGCCGCATGCGAGCCGGAATCAGCCTGCGACGCCGCGAGTAGGTTATGCGATGCGGCCTGGAGCTGGCGCGATTGAATATATAAAACCCTCATATTTGTTAACGTTATTACATCCATTTGTGTTGATATGACAGCAAACGCATGCTGAGAAGTTCGGGGGGCGTAGTTGATTTTACATAAAGCGTTTGGTTGGAAGCTCGACTCTGCTCATTTTCGCGGCTCCTCCTCTGGCTCCATCAGACAATCCTTCTGCGCATGTCTGGCTCCAATTTCAGCAGTCTTTTGCGACAGTTTGTGCCCGTCAAGCAGGCGTTTTGCCCTCAAGGCGTTCAATGGGAAAAAGGGCTGTCGCGTCGTCCATATTTTTTACAGTCATTGGGCCATACACCCAAAGTGCTTCATCATGGGACGGGGTTTCTCCACACCACCTCCAGTGGCCAACTTAAGCATGTAAAAAGACATCATGAAATCACAATAATACGTTTTTTTTAGGAGTTATCAGTATGTTAGTCTTAAGGACTGGGGTCACCAATCTCGGTCCTGGAGGGCCGGTGTCCCTGCAGGGTTTAGCTCCAACTTGCCTCAACACACCTGCCTGAATGTTTCAAGTATACCTTGTAAGACCTTAAATTAGCTTGTTCAGGTGTGTTTGATTAGTGTTGGAGCTAAAATCTGTAGGACACCAGCCCTCCAGGAACAAGTTTGGTGACCCCTGCTTAAGGATATCTATAAACTAGTTCACTTTAAAAGTGGCAAAGCTTTCATTTGGAAGATATAAACATCCAAAGATTTCATTGGTTCTTCCACCTAAATCAGGGATGGGCAAACATGGTCCTGCAGAGTTTTGCTCCAGCACTAATCAAACACACCTGAACTTGCGAATCTGTGTCTTCAAGATCACCAGATACTGTAGCTATAGGCTGGTGTGTTTGATTAGGGTTGGAGCTAAACTTTGTAGGACACTGGCCCTCCAGGACTGAGTTTACTCATCCCTGATCTAAATAGATAAACCTTTTTTTTTCACCTTCAGTTTCTCATCTAATATTATGACCAACCAAATGCGGGAGTATCTGACATGTCTATCCCCTTCAAGATGCTGCTGTTTTTTGCACTTAAGCTCAACCACTCTAATATGCAAAGCTGTAATAAAAACGAAATGTTATTGGCTGTTTTTTTCTGTCCTTCCCTGTCTTCATGTTTTTGCTCCAATTGAGGTTTAATGGTCAGTACAGTACTTTTACCACTACTGCTGACAAACACATTGATTTACAGATAATCTTAAATGAGAAGACAAACCTTTATTTGAGAAGACAGATTAGATTGAATGTAAAGTTACAATAATAATCCAATAGCTTATATGTAATTTACTAAAATTAGACTGAAATACCAGAACTTTTAGTTAACTGACTAAAACATAAACTAAAACTAAATGGCATTTTAGTCAAAAGACAAGGACTCAAAATCGTCTGTCAAATGCTGCTCTATTCAATGAACCTTTATAAAATACTGCATAGATGCACATTTATGCATTATTCATACTGCATACTCTGTGTGGATTTTTGCAGCTGCTGCTCAGAAAACATACTTCACAAAAGTGCAAGGGCTGCCAAACATCACACCACTGGTAAGTTCAGTAAAGGAGACACCTGAGCCCATCCCAACCACAGTTACAGGCACCATCCCAACCTGGATACATGGCAGTCTGCTGCGAAATGGACCTGGAAAGTTTGAGTTTGGAAATCAGAGGTGAGTAAATGGAGATTCTGCTTTAAATAAGATTAATCTTTTTTTTTTTTCTTTTTAAACAAGTAAATAACAGGGTGAGAATGAAGTAAAACCTGAAAATGTTAAAAATGAGGTGAGGGCTTTTCTTTTTCTGGATTGCTTTTAAAAATTGTCGGTTGGATTTAGCGAAGTGGGTGGGCGGTTTAGTCGGTTCTCTTGAAAAACTATTGGTTGGCTTTGGGGAAGGAGGAGGTTGGGTCAGTCGATCAGTTTGTAATCAAATTTGCAAGTGTTTCTTTCTGCAGACTGCAAGACGGGGCCGTAAGATGGAGCGTAACTTGAAGTAAGTTAGAGAGGCATAACTTGCTGTTATTAAGATCCCATTAAACCATGCAAGATGTCACAATGAGATGTTGCTGACAAGATGGCGGAAATATTTACCAGAGAACATTTTCAGCAAATGTTTTCATTAGTTTTCTCCAAATGTATCTACAATCAATTAATTTTATATATTATTATATTGATTCATTCAGCCATTCCACCATGCAACTTGCTGACTTCTTTATTCGTTTTGTCATAAGTTACTCTGTGTCGCCCCCTCTGTTTGCAGATAACGGTACAATGGCGAGCGCGTCAAGTATGAAAGCCTCCGCAACTCGTTGCTGTGTTAAAAACTGTGATGGTTGGATTTAGATTTAGGGAAGGTGTAGACATTTAAAACAGATGGTTGGGTTAAGGGTTAAGCCTGGTTTATACTTCTGTGTCAAGTGACCGGCGTAACCTACGGTGCATGCAACGCGCGTAGCTGTGCATTTATACTTCTGCGTGCTGTTACTGTTGGTCTGCAATAACACTTCCGAAACACTAGCGGGCAGTGAGGTGTTAATGTTCCTCTGTGTCCAATTTCTTCACTGGTGTTTTGTATTTTTTGAACACTTCCTGAATGTACAAGTGGCTCAAACTCGCTCATTTTGAGGCAGGACGTGCAACAACTTTTACTATGAGGTAAACACAAAACAAAACTTTCCACCTGGAGATCCTTCACTGGACTCCACTTGTAAACAATCGCTTCATCGGGCTCGTGCGACTCTCGGTCCCGCCCTGACTTGACAGCGCTACCAAGCCAACCAATCACAAAGCTTGCGTTGCGACTTGTAGTCAGTGTAGTGGCTGACGTGTATTTTGAGAGGTGCACGTCAGCCACGCCAACGGCCACGACGTAGGGTTATGCATCAACGTGTAGGCTGCGCCGTGGCATATGTGTGCGCTTGACACAGAAGTATAAATCAGCCTATAGGTTAAGGGTTGGGGTAATTGTAGACATTAATAACTGTGATGGTTGGGTTTATCATGGTTCATCTTCAGTCTCAATAACTGATGTACAGCGTCATCTTGCCAACAACAAAAAGTTTTGACATGTGGGTCTCCATAACTTCAAGTTACGCTGCTTCATGTAACACCCCTGTCTTTTAGTCAGCAGACAGACCCTACACGAAATGTTAGATCTTAAAAAGCAAACACAGTGGCCTCTGGATTCACGAAAAAAAAAAAACTGCAAAAAAATTAAAAATGTTGTTCCTGGGATGTATTTGATGTATATAGAGGTACATTTTCAAAATGAGCCAGGGTTGAGCAAGTTGCTGTAAATTCAACAGGAAATTGTTTACAGTGTATAATCTCTGTTCCAATGTATAGCAATGAGGAATTTTGCAATTTGAGATGTGCGGTGGTAGAGATGGTCTAATTTTCAATTTGTGGTTGCATTGATAATTATAATTTATGCATATCACGGCTCACCTTTACTCATGTAAATGTTTCCTCAGCTATAACCACTGGTTTGATGGCATGGCCTTGATGCATCGCTTTCAGATAGAGGACGGACAGGTGACATACAGAAGCCGTTTTTTACAAAGTGACTCATACAAGAAGTGCAGCGAGAGAAACCGCATCATGGTGTCTGAGTTCGGCACTGTGGCTCTACCTGATCCCTGCAAGAACATATTTCAGCGCTTCCTCTCCAGATTTGAGGTGTTAAGTACGTAAAATACAGATGATAATTATGGTTTACTTGATGTGGATCTTGACGATTCAATCATTTCCAAAAGCTATTTTAGACATCGATTATAAAAGTTGTTTATGAAAGAGTAAAGAGGAATGTGTCTCTAGGGTCTTTTTCAAGAGCACGACTGGAACGGTCAGTGGAAACATCCAAGTGTGTCTCAGACAAACAACTGTGCGTCTGTTATCACCAGACCACATTTAAATCAGACACCACAAGCACTCAATTAAGATGAATTGAAGTAACCTAAAACTGAAGTGTTGAGATGCAGCTGGCAGGATGTCCTGGACACTGCAATTGAAATAATTATACTGTTCAAAATTTAACTAAAAAGGATAAAATATTGTGTAGCAATTTATGGGATCAATGCCTCAAGAAATGATTAAACAGTCCCGTCAGTAGAGAGAAAGTCCAGTTGTTAGTAACTATCAGTATTGTGTAAGAGTGCCATAATGAGGTTTGCGTTTGGATATGTTTGATTACAAAACTAAAATCAGCATAAAAAATAAAGTGCAAATAAAAATTTGCCTGGAAAAACAATTTAAAGTCATTGATCCTCAATACGGGAAGCACTAAAAGACTTTATCAAACTTCCAGATGACCTACCTTAAAGCAGTGGTGTAAAGTAACTAATTACAAATACTGAAGTTACTGTGAGTAGTTTTTCACAGAAATTTTAATTTACTAAGTAGTTTTAAAAATGTGTACTTTTCCTTTTCCTTAAGAATAATTTTAGTGCAGTATCTGTACTTTTACTCTCACTACTTTCCTTCAACCTGCAGTTACTACTTTATTTTTTCTTGTTTATGGGAATTAGAAAAGTCAGTCCTGTAATTCCTGTCCAATCAAATCACACATAGAAAATAAATCACATCATAATGAACTACTTCAAGACATGTGCACTTTACATTGCAGCAAACTGGAAGCATTAAGTGTCCAAGAAGATGTTCAAAATCTTTACACGCATTGACCCAGAGACTGTTTAGATCAGGGATGCCCAAACACAGGCTGTTTCTCAATTCCAAGAATGCAGAGAATGGACATGTTTTGTGGAGACCGGTCTTGCCAGGTGTCCTCGGAAGAACAAACTCAGGAGACTGCGAGGGCAGAGAATGCATCCTTTGAGAAATGAGATGCTGCGTTGTTCCTGATGGTCACATGACCTTCATGTTTAAAATTGTAAATTATTTTAAAATTACAGCATTCATACAACGATTTATTGTTTTCCCCCCTTTTTAAAAATATATACTCTGCACAATATAAATAAAACTGATTTTAATACGAATTTCAGCAAACAAACAATCTTAATGTTTTTAATCCTTTATTAAGATGTCCATGGTAATGTTTACTTTCACCGTTTCATTTAGGGAAACTCCTGAGGTAAATAAGTTAAATATCTGAACTTTATTTATAAATCTAGATAAAATGCTGCGGTTCCCACCTCCAGTCGCAATGACTTCTGGGACTTCCAGAGCGAGTTTGGTGCTCAAGTTGCATCGGTGCGTTTCTCGATATCATGATCACATCCGGGAAGTTTCACCCATCCTCTATTCTTGCAGTCTTGAGTATTGGAACTGAACTTCTGTATTGGAACTGGCAGCTGATGATGACGTTACACGAGAACACGAGGATGCAAGACCGCTGAAGAGCGCATATTGAGAAACAGCCACAGTCCTGGAGGGCCGATGTCCTACAGATTTTAGCTCTAACTTGTCTCAACACACCTGCACGGATTTCTGGAAAGCCTAGTATGAGATTGATTAGCTAGCCCAGGTGCATCAAATTGGGATTGGAATTAAACTTTGCAGGACACCGGCCCTCCAGGACCGAGTATGGGCACCCCTGGTTTAGATGCATGTCACTGATGAGAAGATGATAGATATTTACTGTATGATGACCAAAATGGCCTTAAACACCCAGCAGGCACAAGACGTCAACATGCCGTCAGATTGAAATTGTACCCTAACGTCATGGAGACGCTGCATTTTGTTTGGAAATGAAAATCGGGTTTACATCAGAACTCAACGTCAGCCTGATGTCTATGTCCAACCTAAAACCAACCTAATATCAACGTCTAATGATGGTACAGCTTGACGTGGTGTTGACGTTACCACTATGACATCTATCAGACATTTAATTTTGGTTGCCATAACTGATGAATAAATGTCAGTATTTGACGTCAATAGGATTTTGGCTCGAAATTGGATTCTGGTCACTTTCTAACAACCTAAAATCAACCAAATATCAACATTATTTGATGTTATTATTGGACATCAAAATAATATTGTCCTTAGACGCTGGCTAGACATTGAATTTTGGTCACCTGACATCACAACCTAAATCTAACCTAATATTAACGTCTTATGACATTGTGTGGCTGCTAACTAAATGCACTGCAGAATGTTACATTTACACATATTCACAAATTACATGTAAATGCATCAACTATTAAAAGCATAATACTCACTACTCATGAGTACTTTTAAAAGGGATACTTTTCCTTCTATTTGAGTAATATTTACAACTGGTACTTTTACTCTACTAACAGTACATTTTTAGGCATGCAATGCTACTATTACTTAAGTATGCTTTTTCAGTACTCTTTCCACCACTGCTTAAAAGTAATCAAAGTAATACAAAAATTTAAATGAATCAAATGTATTTATGACACTGATTTCCTTCTCTCCAATTCCAGAGCCAACAGATAATGCCAGCGTCAACTTTGTTAAGTACAAGGGGGACTATTATGTGAGCACTGAGACAAACTACATGCACAGAGTGGATCCAGAAACTTTGGAGTCCAAACAGAAGGTATGAAGTAAAAACGATTTTTTTTTATGTAAAATCAAATCTTAAGGGTTAGGTCACCCAAAAAATATGTTATTAATTACACCCTCTCATGTCATACCAATTTCCTGAGGTCTTTGATCATTTTCAGTCTCAGGATGTTTAAAATCCTGAAAAGGTACATCATATAAAAATAAATGTATAATGTATGTAACACAAACATAAAAATAAGTAATTTCTACATGGTTTTTTGTGTTCTCAGAGCTTCATACGATTACAGTTGCATGACTTAAGTCACGGAATGTTTTGACAAGGTTTTTGGTTTCTTTTCTGGACTTTAATGGATTTGGATCGTTGTATATGGAGGATGAGAAAGCTATCTGATTTCACCCAAAAAAAAACATAATTTGTGTTCCAAAGAAGAACATTTGTATTAATGGAACAACATGAGGATGAATAATTTTATAACAGACATACTGCACAGAATTTTTGGGTAAACTAAAGCCCCGGACAGATCACCTGATTTTTATTGACTGTTACGAAAGTCACTATTTCAGATAATGCATTTTGTCTTGATAAAATCTTGACTTGTCGTGGGTAACAAATTGTCCAGACTACACGTATCTTCATGATCAGTCATCCCGTGACGTCTACAACGAGCGTTATTTCCCAAAGCAGTCAGAAGTATTGCTATAACAATATTTCTTATCTCAATTTTTTTTTTATATATTTCGATCTCAATATTCTATCTTTTACTCCCCCTCATGCTGATCCAAGCCTATAAGACTTTCCTTTTTTCTCTGGAGCACAAATGAAGTTATTTGTTAAGAAATATGAGTGCTTTCTGTCCTTACATTGACCACCTTGACAAACTCTTAAGGCACATAAAGGTAAAGATAATGTTGAAGAAGTCCTTGGCAATACCTGCATTCTGATTTTCTTTTCATCTGTTTGTAAACTGCAGCAATTCTAGGACAGTTTAAAGACAAAACACACACACACACACACACACACACATTGCATCTTGATTGTGCAGAAAACACCTATTAAAATCTTTCAAATGTCATATGACATTTAAGGTTAAACCACTGGAGTCACAAGTCAGTGACGCTTTTAGCCTTGAAAGTGGAAGTTGCTTTGGCTTTGACCTAGGCCTGCACAATATATGGTTTCAGCATCGATATCGTGATCATTTGCAATAGTCACATTGCAGCAAATATGCAATGTTTAGTTTGTATTGTAATTTATTTTTGATGCCTATGATTGTATAATGATTTTAAAAGCATTCAGGTATAAGTATTTGTACCATGTGTGACCTGCAAATACAGACATGAACTGCGAATTGGAAAGATAACAATGAAAATGTGTCAGGGGACCCCAAAAAGCTTAGATTGTTTATTTGAGTTTATGGAGATTCAAAGAGTAAAAATTAAAGAGCCACTAATATGCATTAAAAAGGTCATATTTTGGTTTTGGGGGTCTCCAACAACAGGATGATATGCTTGCAAGGTCAAAAAAACTATTTCATTGTCTTATAATATGGTTTTGTTTTTACCTAATTAATTACTTATCCCAACAACTCCCATATGATTTTTTCAGTAATTTGCCATACTAGCAGCAACAAACAGCAGAGGATTGCGAGCTTGCAAATGAATTTAAATCGGCAAAAAAGCAGCAAACAAAACGTAGTTTTAGACGTTATATATAAATATAAAGAGTTAAGAAGATACAGAATAAGAATACATTATTTGCAAGCTTGAGAAAACAAGGAGGCAATCATTTTAATCGCACTTAAGGTACGTACACTTGTGAAATGGAGGAAGGAGCTGATCCATGAACTGTGTACTGGAAAGTTCCTGTCAAGCTCTGACTAAGTCACAAACATCAATAGTCTTTTCTGATTTAACAAACGGCTAACGAATCCCCTGTTGTAAGCAAGTAGATTTCTGAAGCACTCGTCAGAAAAATGACAGGAACATAGTACAAGGCTGGGGCTATAATGCTGAGGTATTTTTCGTTTGAACCACTAAGAGTCTATTCTTTTATAGATAAATCAATAGTTTCAAACACTATGCACTTTCAGATTTAAGCCTTAGCTGGATATTTTACTACACTTAGAGCTGTTACACTGCATGGAAGGTCATTTTTAAAAACCCATAACAGAGGCTCTTTAATTCACCAATCTCTGAATCTCTGAACAGGTGCATGAAAATACTCACATCACATGCAGTTACAGAAGTGCACTACAAATAGGACATATGACAAAGTGAGAGGGGACCCCCAAATTTTTTTTTATATAAATTGTTTATTAGATTTTTATGGAGATGCATTCCCTCTGCAGAATCAGCCTAATCGATCTAACATTATAAATTCTTATCGCAATATATAGTGCAAAGTAAAAAAAAATATTGCAATGTTATATTTTTTCAATATCGTGCAACCCTACTTTCCTACTTTCAATTTTCAGAAATTTCTCAGTTTTGATAATAATGATCTAAATTTGTGCTCCAAAATGGAACAAAGAGAAAGTCTAAAAAGTTTAGAACAACGCAGGGTGTAATGAGTGACAGTATTTTTATTTTTAAGAGAACTCTCACTTTAAGAAGGATGACTAATTGTAGGTGGACTGGAGCAATTTTGTAGCAGTGAACGGTGCCACCGCTCATCCACACTTTGATCCAGACGGCACAGCTTACAACATGGGCAACTCCTACAGAAACAAAGGTTAGATTCCTGTCTTTCTCTTTTGCACTAAGCAAATTAAGCATTGTATGAGGTCATGTTCATACTAGGAAATGTTTTCTAGGTGCTATGTACAACATCATCAGAGTCTCTCCAGAAAGAGACGGCCCCAAGGATACGCTAGAGGGAGCCAAAATATTATGCTCTATCGCCCCCCGTGACAAATCCAAACCCTCTTATTACCACAGCTTTGGTGAGTGAATATGAAAATCTGTCCCGTTTATTATCTCCACCTCAACTACACAAGAACGACTATCGTAATAAATTTTTACACTTTTCTGTATGTAATAAAGCCATGCTTTATTTAACTGCAAGGCACTCTGAATTATATAATCATATTGTCTGAATAGAGTGATCTTCTGAATGTATAGCACTAAAACACATCATTTTATTTCCCTGAACCTTTCAGGCATGTCAGAGAACTACGTAGTGTTCATCGAGCAGCCTATTATAATGGATCTGTTTAAGATAATAACCGGCAGACTATGGGGCAACTCAATAAATCGGGGTATTTACTGGGACCCCAACCAGGAAACCATTTTTCACCTTATTGACAAACAAACTGGAAAGGTGAGGCAATCTTTTAAGACATTTACAGTAGTATTTCTCAAAGGCATTGAGAATAATGCAGATGATCTCTCTTATGAGTTTATTCATAGTTTACAGTATATTTGTGCATTGATTGTGCTTTGTACATTTCAGTGAGAGCTGATAAACATATCAATATTGTGATTGTATTTGTAATGAAAATAGGTTGATACAGCACTTAATATAGTAATTAATGAATTACGCATAATACATGTAAAAATCCCCAATCCTAACTCACATTCTATAGTATAGTAAGTACAGTGCACAGCATATATAAGTACACCCCTCACAAATCTCTCATTTAGATTAATATTTTCTATAGGGTGCTTTACAATATTATATTTGTGCATATAATTCAGTCCGTACTGAAGCTGAATCTGCAGCTAATCCAACAAAAAAACTAAAATATTGGTTCAAATATGAGTTGCCCAAATTTATTTGTTATTGAACAATTTTAAATAACATATTAAAAATAGTAAAAAATCAAGACAAACAAAAAATCTATACAATTTTTGTTGTTATTTTACAATATTTTGCATGAATTTAATTGTATTATTTTTTCATTTCTAAAGATGTTCTGACTAAAATATTATTTTATTTAATATATGTTTAATAATATTTCTGTTTTGTTCAAATTCACCAATATATGAAGACTTTTAAAAACCTCTTAATGCCCTCTGAATTTTTCCATTAAAATTTGCATTTTTAATCAGGCTACTGTGTGTATGTTCTGTCCTTTTCCTGGTCTTTAAAGTGAAATATCTCAATATAAACAAAGGAGGCTGAGAAAAATATTAATTTTTGATGGACATTTTAGATGGCACTTGCATTTTTTTGCATCTGAATTCTTTATACATCACCCCCATTCACTAAGAAATGGATAAAAATATTTATTTTCAAAATGGGGTGTACTCAATTGTGCTGAGCGCTGTACTTATAATTATTTAATATTACTCGGTAGTTACATACAGTTATACTGTAACTGCTTCACCTTTTAATAAAGTGTTATGTAATTGACTGCTCTGCCTGTCTGTCTGTGCAGGAGATGCCAGTAAAGTACTACACCAAGGCCCTGTCCACCTTTCATCAGATCAATGCGTTTGAACAGGACGGTTTCCTCATGTTAGACATGTGCTGCTCTGATGATGGAGAGGCCATAAATAACTTCCTGATCCAGAACATGCGCCAGTCAGGAGAGGCTCTGGATGAGGTGATGTTACTCTCTGTTTGTCCTACAGTAATACTACTGTATAACAGCAGGTGCCATGTATACTATTAATATAATTATGACATTATATGTCTAATTTTTTGTGTATATTTTTCTCTCTCAGATGTATAACACAATGAGTCGGCCACTGCCCCGTCGCTTTGTGCTGCCACTCCACATCAGCAGTGAAACACCTCTTGAACAGAATCTCAACACTCGTCTTGACAGCACCGCCACTGCCGTCTGCCGCACTAAAACTCAGGTGTCCTCTTTGACTGAGTTACACATGTAGTACATTGTATCATATCCTTTGTTTATTAATTGCCATGTCAGCAACAATGGCAAAAACATTTAGAGAAACAAAGAGAGCAGGCCCAGAAGTTAGCCTGATTGTAGTAGAGAGAAGAAAGACTCCAGAGGAGGAGAGGAGCAGAGCCGGAAAAGACAGGCCAGGAAAAAAAAGGGCAGGAAAAGAGACAGAGCAGAGTTTTACACCTATTTTGTATCTTTCTTGTACCATGTAACTACCATGTAACTAAAGTCCAAATACTGAGACATTCAAACTGACCAATCAACATGTGACCACATCATAAAACCCCCAAAGTCCCCACACCCAGCCTTAATCGTATCAGTATCTGCCTTTGGAGTCTGTATTGACCTTCTTGAGTCAAAAAGATATGTTTTGTCATATAATCAAATGCATATGTCAATTTAACCTCTTACAATAGTGTATGAGTATGCAAGAGTTGGCAGTTTATTCCACTGTGGCGACCCCTGATCAATAAAGGGACTAAGATGAATGAGGATAAAAATTCAAAAATAAATTCTAAGTCAATAAAATCAGGACAGTTCAATAGAATGTGTTTTCATATACTGTAGGGCAGTGTTTCTCAACTGGTGGGTTTGCGTCGCAGGAACATTTTCAGTAGATTGCGGAGTGTGTGGTCAAAAAAACAACAAAAGTATAATTTTCTTCTTATTTTGCATATACCGGACTTATTTTGAAATGCGTGTGCAACAACCCTACCATTTGACATGTGAAATTTCATTTAATTATAGCAACAAATATGTCGAAGGGCAAGTACGACCCCGAATATGTAAAGTATGGGTTTACATATATTGACGACAAAAAAGACTTAAAGCCTCAGTGTCATATGTAGTGAGGTGCTCTCATAAGAGCGTGAAACCTTCTAAATTAAAACGACATTTAGAAACCAGACAAATAGTTTTATTAACATTTCAGTTTAGTTCATGGTAACTGAACCTTTCCTTACCCTAACCACTGTTTACAGTATTTGTGGTTTTTACGTGAATATTTCTTTAATTTGATACATTTTGTTAAATTACAGCAATAAAATATTGTTTATTTGTAAGTCTTGGTGAATTTCTTATGATTTATCTGTCACTACTTGTTTATGTTAAAAATAAATACAAATTAATTATAATTCCTAAAATTGTGTTTATAATCCCTAAAAATTTGGGTTGCGGCTTGATGACCATGTAAAAATGTGGGTCCACTGCCCAAACCAATTGAGAACCCCTGCTGTAGGGCATTGATCAAATCGTTGATTACAGTATATTAGCAAGCTCTTTCACTAGTACATACTGTACATTGCAGAACAGAGGTTAAGTGTCTGTCAATCTTTTTATCTTTATTGTTTATTTTGTTTGCAAATATCAAATTACCACCATATTAGCACATTAAAATGTTTTTGTGAAAGATCATATGACACTAAGGACTGGAAAATACTTTGTTTTGCTTTTACAAAAATGTATTTATAATTAAAAGTGTTTTATTACAGTGTCAAAAAAAATAGCACATGTGAAACTTTTAAATAATAAAAAATCTTCTCAATCGCAAATTCTGCCACTTCAGCTATTAGGTTTAACATTAACTTAGCTATAATTAATTAGCTATTAAAGGCACAGTATCTAAGATTTTAAATAGCTACTATCCATTAGAATGGTGTTATATATTTTGCTGCCTTATGTACTTACATTATCCCTTGTTCAGAAGAATCCTCAATCCAGAGAAATCAACAATTTTAACTAGTGCTTCATACAGTACTACTATGATAACACGTTTTGAATACTTTAGCCTCATGGACATAATCTCTGAAGCAGTGGATGTATTGAAGATGGCAATTCCTTTGATTCCCCACTCACAGCATCATCAAACTGCACTTTGTTTCTATCTGCAACAATACTGTGCCTACAAAATATGCATCTCATTGACTACTTTTACATAAACATGAGTAATGGAATTATTTTTCCATTCCATTATTTTCAGAGAATAGTGTCAAACAGCCGTGTGTGTATAGACTATCCTGTTGCAAAATGCTGTGAAAATTCTACACAACGGAATCTTGCACTTCAAAAATACGACTAAAATAGGCATACTTCACGTGCCTTAATCTGATTTCTACTTAGTTTGATTATGACTTTAATTAGATTAAATTAATCAAAAATTGCTGTTTACATGGTAGACTCTTAATAAGAGCATTGTCTTAATTGTGTTAAAATCGGAGTATTGGTGTCCATGTAAGCGTACTCAGTGCTTGATAATCTTTCTTTCAGGTGTTTTGCACGTTTGAAGATCTTCATGGTGAAGACCTGAAAGACTACGGTGGTTTGGAGTTTCCTCATATTAACTACGCCAAATATAACACCAAACCTTACAGATACTACTATGGTTGTGGCTTCCGTCACATAGTGGGCGACTCCTTAATAAAGATGGATCTGGAAACCAAAAAGTTAAAGGTGAGTTAAAAAATAAAGCTAGGGATTCATTGCAATGACCAAAATGCTCAAAGTTTAACATCAGTAAAAATGTTCTTGGCACACATCGTTAAACAACCCAGGCTCATTCTGAAAACTACTTCTGCACACATTTCTGGAGATCGGCAAATAGGAGCTACTTTTTTTTTTTTATTTATTTATTTTTTTTGCGGTTTTTGTTTTCGTGAAGCCACCAGAGACCTCGGTGTAGGCTTTTTGAGATCTCAAATTTCCCTCGCAAGTGCTATTTGCATCTGCTGTTCTCACGTAAATCCACAAGAGGCTACTGTCGACTGACTGATCGACGGAGTCCCACTTCTCCTTCCCTAAACCCAACTAATTGTGTTTTTAAAAGCACTAACTGACCCGCCCACCCACTTCCCTACATCCAACCGACAATTTTAAAAGGCAATCCAGAAAAAGAAAAGTCCTCGCCTGATTTTTAATTTTTCTTGCATTTGCAGATTTTACTACATTCTTACCCTGTTATTTACTTTTTTATTTAATTTTTTTGGATTCTGTTTTTGTCTTACCCGCCTACTGGAACAATTTTTAACTGGACTCAAACCCCGCTGTCATAGTCAACTCCTGGTAAGCATGAAAAGGTACAGCGTCATTCTGCCCAGAGTATCCTTTTATAAATGAATTGCAGCCATATGTACTTCAGGCTACATAATTCACAATCTCCAGAAACTTACATAGGGCTATGTTTTCAGAATGAGCCTACCTTGACGTTAAAAAGTGTTTGTGTGATTGCTATTGTATATGAATTGATTTGCAGATCTGGCGCCAGCCCGACCTCTACCCTTCAGAGCCGGTCTTCATTCCTTCACCTAATGCTGAGGATGAAGATGATGGAGTCATTCTGTCTGTCATCATCACTCCAGTTAAAGTACGACACAGCCCTAAACAGGCACTATACTTCACCTATTCTATAATGAATGCAAGCTCTCAGAAGCATATTGAGGATTATTAATGTGTCTTGTATCTAAGCCCTATCTTTCTCTTCTCTCTCTCTCTCTCTCTCTCTGTAGGATAAGAGTACATTTCTCTTAGTTCTAGATGCCAAAACTTTTGAAGAGCTAGGAAGAGCTGAAGTGCCTGTCAACATTCCTTATGGATTCCACGGTGTCTTTAACTCCAGTGTATGAAGCTCTTGGGATTCACTCCAACAAAACACAAACAAACCACAAGTAGCTCTTTAAAATGCTTAACCTACAGTACCACTTATCAAGGCACTTACTGAACAATATTTCTATGAAATCAACCTAAAGAGATTCTCATATACTGTATGTGTATATATAAAAACAACACACACACACACTTTACAAATGCAGTTAGTTCTCTGTGAGAAACTGAACCATTTAAAACCATTGCCAAAAAAAGCCTGGTCCAGATTTTGTGACCTTTGATATATGCTTCAACACAGTCCAGTCACGTTTATTTCTATAGCACTTCATGCCATACAGACTGAATCAATTCAGAGATTAACAGGAAAACTACTGAATGTAGTTCACTATCAATAAGAGAGAGAGCTTTAAACAGATTTATTTTTGGCGTCCTTGTTATACGTTCCATTTACTCACTATAGTAAATACCTTTTTTCAGAATTACATGCAACTAGACCTAAACATGGGCGAAGCAGTAGGTAGTGCTGTCGCCTCACAGCAAAAAGGTTGCTGGGTCGAGCCTCGGCTCAGTTGACGTTTCTGTGTGGAGTTTGCATGTTCTCCCTGTGTTCGCATGGGTTTCCTCCGGGTGCTCTGGTTTTCCCCACAGTCCAAAGACATGCGGTACAGGTGAATTGGGTAGGCTAAATTGTCCGAAGTGTATGTGTGTGAATGCATGTGTGGATGTTTCCCAGGGATGGGTTGCGGCTGGAAGGGCATCCGCTGCGTAAAAACTTGCTGGATAAGTTGGTGGTTCATTCCGATGTGGCGACCCTGGAATAATAAAGGGACTAAGCCGAAAACATAACCATACAGTAAGTACAGGGAGTTAGCCGATATTTCTCAATACTTAAATGTATAGTTACGCTGTAATATGGACACTTTAACTCTGCAACAAGCAGTTCTACCAAAGACAGCAATTTTGTTGTTCAGCTCCTCGGTGCATATGACTTTCTTCTTTCAGACATACACTGCAGCTTTAAATACACTAGCTTTAAAGGGCACCTATTTTACCCCTTTTTTAAGATTTAAGATAAGTCTTTTGTGTCTCCAGAATGTGTCTGTAAAACCTTAGCTCAAAACTTGTAGCTGTTTTTGTGACCTGTGTCTGTAACCTGTGTTCTCTCTGCCCACCGTTCCCATGTCAGAGTGTGCCTCAATCTCTGGCTGTGTCAGATAAACAGCACAGTGACAGACATGAAGGAAGCAGATCTCATGTAACGTTTGTGAGAAATACTGCAGTAAGGTAATATATACTGCTGTATGGATATTCTTTGTTAATGTACAAAATAAACCTGATTTAAAGTCTTTTCTTTTATTATTGTACTGACAAGGGCTGTGGTGATAAAGACTGTAAAATCACTGTAATTGATCACAAACATGCACTGTTTTAAAAACATTTGAAAAACTTGTAAATCCCACTCTTGATCACATTTGATGATGATTGATGATCACAGAGAGCTGAACAGATCTTTTAATCCCAGTTGCTTTGACATGTCCAGTCTTGTTGATATGGTTATAAGCGTTAGTATGGAGACATGTTAATACGGGGCTGTCAGCTTACAAAAGGTGATTTTTATCATAGGTGCCCTTTAAATTGTGTCCTGGTTCTTCTGTGATGTATAATGGTGTGGGGTAGTGACTTATGAAGTAGACTGATGTGTTTTTGCAACAAAAATGCTTTAAATATATTTAAATTATAAACTCAAATCTCTGACTTCTGATAGCTGCCGAATGTGTGTCCTCAACAATTCTTGACTGATCTCTGACTCGACATATATGATGCAAGATGCATTCATTTCGGAAGTTCTGGTCAGAGTAGACAAATGAGGATAACTAAAGTGGAAATTAAAAAACGACATGTTATAATGTCATTAGATTTCGTTTTTAGAGAAGAGCATGAAATTTTTGCACATCGGTATTTGATTAAACTGGAGTACCGCAGCATCATCATCCTTCATACAGTATGGCGAGTCAGACCAGAACTTGTCAAGTACTGGCAATTCATGAGTTTAGAAATATTTTTGTTACAAAAACACATTGATCCACTTCATGAAGCATGTGTTAATCCCCTGGTGGCCTATGAGTATGCCCACACGGAATCTGCACGCACAGATATCTGCAGATTTTTAGCCCCTCATTGAGTCTATATATTGTGTAAATGTGTACACATTTTTTATTTATTTAGTTTTTAAATTTATTTCACCAATTTAATGTGATATTATAATAATAGAAATATTAAAATGTTCATATGATTTATTTACAATACCATTTGTGAAGTCATATTTTCTGTCTTTCAGTAGACATATTATATGAGAGACTTGATTCTTTTTTTATTTCATATATAAAGTTATTAGTTATGATACTCCTAAAATAAATCAGCTGATCTCTTTTACAAAGTTCTCCACAGAAATAGCAAAAAATGTCAGCAGATTCTGTCTTGCCGAGTTAGTTTTACTATGCTTTTAGAAGCTTAAAAAAGGGCCACTACTCAAAGCTACTATACAGCATTAAAAAGCCAGGATAACTACAGGTAAAATTACTGTGTTTCAAAAGAAGAAAGTTTATCCACTGAGGATGGCTTTGGGGTGAGTAATTTATGGGTCATTTTTCGGGTATTTCCTCCTAAGTGTTGATTCGGATCAGTTCAGTGTTGAACAGTGATTTTTCAGTTCAACTCTTGAAAATGACGATGTTATATTGCAACTCAATTCTGTTCAAGTTTTCTGTACATCCAGTGTTGTGCCTTCATATCAATATCTTTCAGACTTTCATACATTTGCATATTATCAATGCCTTTATAGTTTTCAGCAACTTTGGCCCACCCAGTGAAAGTATTATGGAAAAAAAGATACTATGATTTCCAAACAGCTGCAGAAGATGCTTTTGTTTGTAATGAACAATCAGAATAATAAGATGGGCTGATCTACAAACATTATATTGTATCTAGCGATCAAGTGGAATGTTTTGTAGACCTGTCACAATGTAATGCAGGCTTTGCAAAAAGGCTTTTATTTGAGGAAGATAAAAAACAGCCTGCTGCATATGAGTCAGAAAGCGGGTAGAGGAATGGTAATGAGAATAGCTAGAAGTAGAATGTTTTACTAAATTGACTTCAAGGAAAAATACTTCCTTTTGTCAGCAAGACACAAAGTTAAAGACATTTTTTTAGCCCTCCTCTAAAATTACTAACTCCTGTGAATTATTTTAAAAGAAACTCCCAATGATGTTTAACAGAGCAAGGAATTTTTTCATAGCAATTCCTCTTGTATTTTTTTTTTTAAATCTTTTTGTCTTTTAAGTGTCCTAATTCACTTATTAAGCCTTTAAATTTTACTTAAATGCTGTTATCACAGCAAATACAAAACGTTAATATTAAAACTATTGTTCAAAAACGTGTTGAAAATTTTTTTTATTAAACAGCACATGAGAAACAGTTTGAAAAAGGATTAAAATTACACAGGAGGCCAAATATTATTGCCTTCAGCTGTATAAGTTTTCTACATTTTCCATTTAAATTTTTTTTTTCTGGTCTATATCCTTTTACCAGATCATGACACTTGCAATGTTTGCAATTGATTTTAGTTGCCCAGTGTATTGTAGTTCAACTATTATGTGTATACAATTATAAATTGCATGTTTCAGACAAGAAAATGTTATGTGAACGTGCATATCTTAGAGATACAGTATGTTTTGCATATGAGTAAAAATGGATAAAATGTTGCTGCCTCCTTAAATAAGTAAAAAAAAAATTAAGTCAAGACTTAAATTAGTCGAGAAACCATTTAAAGAATATACTGTAATTCTTAAGGGCGAACATGATTTGCAAATAAAACAAAAGTGGTGAAACCCAAAAGTGCCTTAATGAAAATTATGAATGCCAACGCACGCCTCCCATTAGTGCTGATATACAGCCACATCGCACCGCTACTCGTGTGATACTGCTCATATGGTTAAAGCTACAATATGTATCTTTTGGCAAACTATTTCTCTCTGTTTATGAATTTGTCAAGTCACACAGTTCATGGTCGGATCTAAAAGTTCAAATACTGATTAAAATTTAGACAAAACCAGTTTGGAAAAATCATAATTTTGATCAGTTCTGAACAAAAAACTGTTCACATTCTGCAGCTTTAAATAACAAAAGATTAACACCGTGGTGCATGTGTATCATATTGTATCAGTTTTCTACCTCTTTGTGAAGTAACATTTTGAAGACATTTGTATTATGCATAATTGTACTTTTTCAAACTATATTACAATTTTAAATTGCTTATAAATTGTACTTTTTACCCTACTTTTTAATTGTAACTTGATCATAATTCCAATGATATAATAAATACTTACAAAACACATTTGCCTCCTGCATAATTAAAAACTACAACAACAACAAAAAACATTTGTAATGTTTCCCAGAAAATGGGGAAAATGTCCAGTAATTTCTTCAGTCGTTTCACATACTGACTTTGATATGATAATCTGGCATCCCAACTCAAAATTGTAGCTACTGCAAAGAATTTATTTTGTGAAATGTATATAATAAATTGATTTGGTAAATATTGTATTATTAGTAGCTACATTATTACGACACATTTATTTGCTTTGCTTTATTTGTAAACATTTATCATTCCTTTATCATCCCTTTGTTTTAAGGATAATTTAAGTATAAATTTATTTTCACATTTGTGTGTGTGTATATATGGGTGTGTATGTGTGTGTGTGTGTGTGTGTGTATATATATATATATATATATATATATATATATATATATATATATATATATATATATATATATATATATATATATATAGTTTCATTTTGTTTGTGTGTATTTTATAATTTGTATATTAATTTAATTACATTTCAATTAATTATTGTGATATTGTGTCCCAGTCCATTATCTTAATTTAGTATACAGTTATTTGTTAAAAAAATTTTAATTAACATTTCCATCTACACTCTATCAGTCCCCTGCGCCCCCTGTGTTTTGAACCCCCCTGATAATAAGCATTCTGCAAAGTGTCAGACAGCAATACTTCTGTGCTCCACTAGGTGGCAGCATACACTCACATCACGCAGATCTGAACTTGGTCACAGACCTGATGTTAAAGCATCCACATGCACTACTATACAGCAAACATTGCATTTTCAACACTTTAAACAACCCTGCATCCACTCAGCGCATACAAAGACACAGATGAGTGTGCGTACTGTATGAGTGCATATGTGCTCCAGCATATGAATATCTTTGTGGCTCTGCTAAATTGGGAGCTCTCCGATTTCCTCTAATCCCTGCACATCAAACAGCAGATGCAGACAGACAGACAAATACACACAGACAGACACACACAGACAGACACACACACATACACTGCTCTCCTGCCGTACCTCCACCTGCCGGATCTTCTTTCCTGACACACTGCTGTCATTGTCCACATATCTGCATGTGTTTATGTGTGTGCGAAAGAGACACAGCATGGCTTGTTTGTCCCAGTGTCTCTCCATCCTTCTTGATTTAG